ATCAAAATAAATCCAAAGAAAAAAGCAAGCAATCTATAAACAGAAATCAAAACGGCGTAGAACACAAACAAAACAAAGAAAATATTGTATATGAGAAAGTTTAACCTAGAGTTTTTTTAAAACGATATGGAAGAATGAACTTATGAGACGTATTTATATAGGTGTTTAAGCATAGGGTTTAGATCGCTAGAGTTTCGTTTAGGTTACGTAAAATAGTTAATATGGGCTGACGATATTTATATGGGCCGACGATATTGATCTCATCGAGTTTAATTAAAAAATTTTGGTTAATATTTTCAAAATTAATTATTCTCATTAAGGAGTAAGAGGTAATTAACCAGTTGAAACTCAACAGAGACCTCCATTGCTTATTTTGAACTCGCTTTTAATATATATATATATGATTTGTCGTCAAATGTGATTTTATACTCTCTTTTTATTTTTTACTAAATGAATAATTGTGCACACGAGTTTAATTTCATGTATAGTATGCATGGATGGAATTTCAAATGATATATTTATTACAGAACTTACACAATAATGTGATGTCTGATGAACGTTTAGAAATTGTATGAATATTTTTATAAACTTTAGAAAAGAGGATTGGTGGATTACAATAAGCCTGGCAACAACATCAACAAAGTATGTAGAAAATTGGGATTGCACCACCCAATTTGCCATAAATCCCCTATATTATACATGGTTGTGCACCATGTCCTTATTTTTGCACCATTAACATATACCCCAATTATATGAATTGTCAATGGAAAAATTTGTATAAATTTCTTTAGTTCGTTGGTTTTTAAGATCAATCTTAATTATTTTTTTTTTTAAATGTGTAATCTTAGTCCTACCTTCAAGCATTCTCTTCTATATATTGACCATGTTCATTAATTGATGTAATTACAACTACCATCGCTCGATCAATGATAATTTGAGAACAAAGGACTTGTAAAACTTAAACACTGATAGATGGATGAAGAATATAATTAATCACCAATACATATATCTGATGGACTTCAGAGACATAGCACATCTCACATTTTTTCTTTTCTTTTTTTGACATATTATTGATTGAAAAGATAAGCTTCGTTTTTACCCTTTTTTGTGAATTCGTCTATCTATTTATGTTTTTGATATACATTTGGATGTTCTAGGTCCTAAACCCTTGAATTTTATGGCTTTACCCACAAAACGAAAGAGTTTCTAGGTGATTAAAGTACAAGAACTACCCCAATAGTTGTCCCCATATTTCGGATTTCCTCTAGTACCTATGAAAATTGGTCCCTTGAAATTGTCCATCTCCACGTCACATACCCCTGGAATCCAAAAACAAGACTAAATCTCGTCTTTGAGACTTACGACAATAGGCCACATATGGCAATGCAGCATTGAGGTTTTAATTTGGAACAATATTATAGATGTATTTATATGTTTTATTTCCTTTGCATTGGGAGTTTGTGGGAAAACATTACAAGACTAGAAAATTGCTATTCGTTTTTTTAACTAGGTCTTACATGCGCTATGCTAACTTAAAAGCCTAAATGGTAACGGTGGAAACTGGTAGAAAGAGAGGGCTACTTCCAAATGTATTAACATGTACTCCATGGTCCAAATTAGAGATCTAGCTATGTGTAGAAGAAAAAGGTTTTAGAGATTTTAAAGTAAATTATATAAATATAGACAAAGAGTTACATGATCTTATTCCCATTAACTGTTTGAACGTTTTAATAAATAAATGTATACGCACCAGAGCATCCTTTTGTAGATTGGAGACTGTCGTTATCAATCACATTCTGACGGTGTGGTGTTTTTGGTTAAGTCATACATCAGGGAGCTAAGGGTCCGACTACACACATTATTGAAAACCAAAAGCTGCTATCATAACGTCAATACCCTTATCTTTGATGCTCTCATTTGTCTTTTTAATGTTTAAGGTTGACTGTGAGTCTGTGATTGTGAGTATGCATGTTAACAATATAATTATCTTATTATATATTTTAATTATAGGGAAATTACTTCAAGTATCGATTGGTTCCGACAAAAACCTTTAATTTTTTGGATTCATAATAGGCTGCTAATATTAAACCACACTTGGAATTTAGGGTTAATATAAAATTTATGATTTAGTGTTTTTTTAAAAAAAAATTTTTGTAAAAGTTCTAAGAAAAAATATTTGTGTCCATGAATCTATGATCAAGAATTAACCAACGAAAGTGATTCATAGGTTAACCATGATTAAGAGGAACCACAACAAGCTTCTTTAACACTTGCACCACCCCAGACTCTGCCTCGGAACACCACAATATGTTGCTCAGATGCTGCTTGGAAAGAAGAAACCAAAACTGCAGGCCTAGGTTGGTTTTTCTCTGATTTCTCGGGACCTTTTGGGAATCAAGGCAAAACAGAGCAGCATGTCCTCTCTCCTCTGGTAGGCGAAGCCCTGGCTCTCCGAGTAGCACTCTTAGCCGCTAAATCCCGAGGAATCTCCAAACTAATTATGAAATCAGATTCCCTCGAACTTATCAACACTGTCAACTCTGACAACAATATCATGGAGTTCTACGGAATTCTCCATGAAGTCAGGACCTTCGCTTCATCTTTTTCTTTCCTGCGTTTTCTTCACATTCCTAGATCAGCAAATGTTGTGGCTGATAATTTAGCATAAAATGATGTTCAAAAAAAATAAAGTTAACCATGAACATCTATATATTAACTAGATTTTTTTTCCATAAAAAAAAATGCATGAAGGAATAAGTGAAGTTATATACGCATGTTATCTTGTTCAACCAAGTTATATATGCAAATGTCCCTAATGTTTTTATAAAAACATAAGTAATAAAATCATTTTTAAATAAGAAACAAACAAAACTTGCAGCTGTAAGAAAAAAAGTTGCCAATCTTTTATGTGATGATAAAAATGACAATAGTTAACAATGAACTTTAGTTTTTCATTTTTTTTAAGTACAGTACAAATATTTTAAAATATTTTAATTTTAGACAGATAGTTATTAAAAAATTATACTGATTACACAGATAATTCTGTACTAAATACTTAATTGATAGATTATTTACCTTTTATGATAAATGTAAATCTACCAAGTCAATATTATCCAGCAAATCTAACTTTTCATTGGTCTAGGTGTAAGCAGAGATTATGATAAGTTTTTTTTTTTTTTTTTTTGAGATTATGATAAGTTTCTCTTCTAAAAGATTTCTAGGGCTTTCATCTTTTTTTATTTGGTTTAAAACCTGTCAATTTTCATTTCTCTCTCTCTCTCTCTCCCTCTCTCTCTCTCTATCTCTCTCTCTCTCTCTCTCTCTCTCTCTCTCTCTCTCTCTCTCTCTCTCTTTCTCTCTTTCTCTCTCTGCAAACAGCTTCAGCTTGGGAGATATTTCTAGGGGTGTTTTTCTTCACATCTTGTTTACTAAGATTTATTTCAAAATATCTACAATGAGTGTAGGAAAAAAAGATATTAGTGGCTTAAGATATGTCAGATTTAGAACTCAGTTGCTGCCAGATTTGAGACATCCCAACTTCAAGCAGCAACAATATTGAAAAAAGAACAGTAAGTTTGATTCTATTTTGTTTTTACAATCTGAAAGTATAATAAGAGGCTGCGTGACAAAACTGTGACTGGAAATAAAGTTTATCTTTAATTTAGACCTCTAAAATTTTCATCTTTGTTTTGGAATTACCAATCTTTTATGACTCTTGAATAAAGATTTTGTATCTCCTGAATTTATAAAGATGCCCTATATTATTCTTAATATAATTAACTGTTGAAGAAAGATTTTGTGGTCTCCTGAATATGTACATATGCCTTAAAATAGTGTTGTGTGTAAATACTTCTCTTTGTATATGTTTAATGCAGGTTACATTTCAATACGGCTATTTTAATGTTTGGTTTTTAACTGATCATACAGAAATTATGAGAAACAAGAAAGCTAAGAATTGATCATTCTTCATCAGATCACTCTTGTTTTGTGCCCCTTAACACGGCTTCAAATCTAAAAAAGTTGCTTTGGTGTGTATGCTTTTATTTATTTTAACTAGGGGTTTTCCCCGGGCTACGCCCGGATTCTTTCATATATTGATTTTGTATTTAGAGAATGTTTTCATATTTTCCAAATTGATATCATTATATAAAGTTTAAATTGAAAAATGTATTTGTTTGATGTAATGGAAACAAAGTCGGGTTTGCAAAGGTGACAAAGACCATTATTTAGAAAAAATTGCTAAACTCATACTTAAGTAACTTATTTCTGTTATCTATTTTTGTTCGATCTTGATTGCCTTCCCTAGCTAGATCTTATGTCCACAGGTTGAAAATAATAAATAAGATGGTCAATATTCTGTTTATAATTTTTATAATCATCCTCATCAATTTCCTACAATATTATAAAACAATTGGCTTGGCTTCATGGTCTGTAAAAAACATTACCATATATTTCATCTTAACACTATATATCGCAATGTTTTCCAAGATTTGTTAAGAACAAAGAAACTTAGCTCTATATGATATTTCTGTAGTTATGTAATTTTTGTAATAGTTAGTTATAAAAATATAACCAATCACCAAAGAAACTGCAGTAAAAATAAATAGTCAAAACCATTAAAGACATTTCAAATTTGCATTGGAAAATGAAAACACCTTATATTATGAAACAAATAAAAAACGCTAAAACACCCTATATATAGGAACAGAAGGAGTATTTTTTCCAATTTTACTAATTTAATCAAGTAATTAGTTTTTTTTAGTTCAATTTGCAGACGTGATGAGTTAGACCATAAAACACAAACTAATCAGCTTATATAAACGGGCTAATTCACAGAATTGTCATTGTCTACCAACTTTACTTTTAAATTTGAAATTTTCATTAATAGGTTCAGTTAGGAAGAGCTTGTTCTTCTTCTTACAGTCGAAGCTCGATGATTAAGAAATTGTAAGAACAAACAGTGAACCAAACGATATATTTTTCCAACAGAAAAAGAGCACACATTTTTGTATGGGAGAGGGTTGATAAATTCACAATTTGCTGATATTGACATAATGTCAGATTTCTTTTCTAACCATTAATATCAGACTGTGTGAGAGATCTCATCCTATATAAGAAGACTCTTAATAGTTTGAAATGTTTGTTTTAACATAAGTTGAATCCTACAGGAGGAACTGGAAGTTGGTTCCCTCCGAAGTGAAAGTCCAGATGAGAACCATCATGATCACGTGGAGGTTGGTGTTGTGTCTTCTCATCTACCTCTTCAACCCAGTATGTCTCCAATATCTTCATAGCATTCTCGTAGATCTCATTGTTGTCGTTGCTCTGTAGTTTCTCAATCTTTTCTAGCCCTTCTGCATCTTCAACAAATTAGGAATAGTTCAAGTGTCCTGTGATCTTCTGATTCTTCTCTGACTCTCCACCCTTCAAAATTTTGTCCAATCCATCCAATCACATAACGGTTTTATGCAACTCTGCTCCACCAAGTATCTGAATCACATTAAGAGGAGATAGTGAATTGAATTGATCATTAAGCCAGAAAGAGAGAAGAGGAAAGGGACGTACTTGATTTGATCATGAGAACCACCTGAGATGGAATTCGATATTCCCATAAAGCTTTTTTCTTTATGTCAAATTTTGAGTTTTGAGTCAGGTGGACCAATACTGGAATCAAGTTTGCATCAATGAGTGGCTGTTATCATTAGGGGATAGAAAGACAGATTGAAAACAATTAGTTATATCAACAGGCGGATGGTCATATACAGAAGGGTAAGTTTGTTTATGGTGTGCATCATAAATAAACAAAAACTCATGCATGTAATAAGCAACAAAAAGTGGGCACCTGAATTTGTATTTCGCACTGATATTTGAAAGCACCCAGCAAGCTTCCCTCTCTATGGTTTTAATTTTTTCTATAGTTTTGAGTGAGCAGGTTGGCAGCAATGGGTAAAGCACCATAATTGATCACACTCTGAAGAATAAGGTCAAAGAGGTTTATTCAGAACCCAAGGGTAAATGTAGTAAAGTATATGACGTTTGCCATATATAAACGTTGAAGGCACTGCATCCTATCTAATATCGGTGTAGTGGAATTATAATCCAAGAGGCCATATAACAAAAATAAGTTTATGATAGTCCTATCGTTTTGGAAAAAAATGATAGATCATCCGAAGAAGTATTGAAGACGATTGACATAAATGGAATATGAATTACATACTTGGGTCTGCTGAGTATTTCCAGTAACTATATTACCAATGGTAGAAAGTGCAGGAGTAAGCAGACATGGAGCAAAATGCCTGCAAAAAAAAAAGTGTCAGGAGTTCATTATCCAAAAATGTAACAAAGGGGTTAAATATTTAAGGCGTAATTGACAAAGATGGGCAGAAGTCAGAGAAAAAAAACGTCAACAATTTAGAACTTAAGAATAGCTCTTATTTACTTGGATATATAAATAATCTGAATTCTACGACTTCTCAGCATAACTGGAAAAGCACTAAGCAGAACCTAGATAATTCACAAAATATTATTCTTTGTATGGGCAACAGTCACATACCATGTATACATGTTGTAGAATATGTATGCAATTATCTATGTAGCTAACTTAATCATGACCTAGGACTTACGGAGACACCCCTAAACTCGAGGTAATATATAACATACAACTAATTAAAGAGAGTGGTCAATGAGCATGTTTCGGATTCTATCAAGGAGTTGCAATAAGGCAGATTGATAAAGCCATATCCTTACAAATTTGGTTTGACAATATGAAAACCTAGAAGATCATGGGGTTCACTAAGCTTGATATCAAATATGGTCTGGTCCATTGATTAACTTGCAGAGATAGCGCTATATGTTTTGTTTTACCTTAAAGTAATCTGTTGTGTGATACACATTTCTTTGCTAGAAATCAAACTGCAAGCTGAGCATATATGTGAGGTAAGGAATGAACATCAAACTAATATAGAGGATGATCTAAATGAAAGAACATGCATCATTATCTTCTCCTCATTCTACAACAAAAAACTCAACGTAAAACATTCATCTTTGCATCAGTTCTACAATATGGACAGACAGACAGTTATACGGATCATTAACTATATCAAATCGCAGTAAAAGTAATACACAATATGAGACATTACTTTCGGCTATTAGATGACAGACAAACCTTTGATCCAACCAAAGGAAAGAAGATGATCGAACCGGTGAGCTTCCGTCTTAGGCATCAAATACTTCCTCCATCAAATACTTCCTCAAGCTGGTGAGGTGAGTTTTCATAAACAAAAACATATTATGTAATTTGCCATTAAAGAATCGATAGATCTCCTGAGGCTAAAGCAACTTATCATAAATAGAACTTTAAGGAGTAGGAAAAGGTCATCGCAAACCTTGAAATTCGGTGGGGTGTATACTTCTTCTGCCGGAGCGTCTAAATGAATGGTGTAGCCACGTTCCAACCTCAGTCAATAAAAAAATTTAACAAAAAATTAGCGCGAAATTATCCACTTCTGAAACTTTCAATCCACAGATCTTGGGCTTGAACTCCAGAAAATGAAGCGTGAGTTTTATCTAACAAAATTATGAAATTATGAATTGGAGAAGCATTATGACTTATGAGATAGGAATAAGACGTACTATGAGATCGAGGTAACCCGAAAGTTTTTGATCAAGTAGAGAGGGCGTCAATTTAGACTTCGTAAGAGTGAGTCTATATACACAGAGAGCAGAGTGGTGGTTGGGATTTGAAACGTCGGAACTGCGAGGAAGTAGAATCGATTCAGGTTTCTAGGATTTTCTAAAACCTTACACTACGGTGGTGAATGTGGTAAAAGGATGGTGAGAACTTTTTTTTGGGCTATTCGCTACGTTTTCTGGGCCTGAATTGGGCTTCTATCTTTTCGACTTTCTCTATTGGTGTGCCTGTTTGGGTGGAAAACAACTCTATGAACTCGTTATCTTATTAAAATATTAAGTTGGGCTGGAATATGTTTTAATGAGGTGACAAGTTTAGACATTTTCGTTAGCTGAATATTTTTTTGATTAGATTTGCTGACGTGGATAGCCTACGAAGCCAGGAAATCAATCCCTTTTATATAAAGGAGACTAGGGCTTACCCCGGGCTACGCCCGAGTTTTTTTCATAAAATTTTGTTAGTTTTAAGTGATTATATATTTGGGTTGAACTCAATGGTTTAATCTATTCTATTAAAACAGAAGCACACTTAGTGCTTGCATCCAAACACTCCCAAAGTTTTTTAATAAAATTTTATTTTATTTTTATATTTAATTTCCGAAAATTAGTTATTAATTTAGATATTTTTAAATTTCCTAAAATTTAGTTCATCTTTAATTTAAATTTCAAATTATTAGAAATTTAATTAAATTTAGTTACAAAATTTTGCATTGAATTTAATTTAAATTCAAAAAATTCAAAAAAAATTATAATTAAAATTTTATTACAAAAATTTAGATAATAATTTTAATACTTTAGAATTTCTTAAATACAGGAAAGATTTAATTTAAAATTTTAAATTTAAATAATATTTTTATAAAAATGCATAGTAAATAAATATTCTATCGTATTTTATCATAAACAATCGGTCTAAAATATCAAATATTTGAGATTAATAAATATTTATATTATACAATAATATGATCGAACTGATTAGAGTTATATATATATATATATATATATATTTAAGGTTCATGAGTTAATTTATTAAAATATGTAAGATATTAAGATGATTTGAGATAATTAAACTAACAGGTTAGCCCGTTTATATATATATATATATATTTTTTTTTTTAATAGCACAAATAGTAAATAAATATATTATTATATTTTTTCATAATCAATTGATCCAAATATTCCATATTAGTAAATATTTATAGGGTTATAAAATTATAATTATAGTTTTATACGGGTTAGTTTGTCAAAACATGTAAGATATTAAAAATGATTTAAGACAACTAAACGGATGAATTAGCAAATTCATAGATATATAGATTGTTTATGTGTAAATCTAAATTCACATAATAACAAAGTTTATAATTAACATTAGATCAATATATACTTAATTAACGTATACTCTTATTCTACTAATATACAAAGTTTACTGTTTAAAATTAAATATGATAACAATTTTTTAATTTAAAAAAAAATAAATAACAAAAATAAATTTTATCTAAACAAAAAAAATAAATGCAACTTATATTAGAAATAAAAAATAAAATATTTCCGTGCGGACGCACGCGTTAAAATCTAGTTATGTTGTAAAAGAAAAGTTGTGAAGCTGATAATTCCAACCAAATACAGTTAATAAAAAGAAAATTAGATTCTTAGATTGGTAGATCATGCTTTACAGCTTACAATCCACATTACATGACTTGTCATAGTTTTAAATTTTCTTTTGTTTATTGTTATGGCCGATGAATGTTGCACCACTTTTTTTAAAAAAAAAACCTGCATAGATAGATTCATATTATTTCCTTTTTTGTCAATAAATTTGTCTTAAAAATAACCTATCTAAAATCCACATTTTGTGAAACCTATTAGTCATAAAAATAAGGCAGATGTAGATTCATGAAGATGTAATTATTTTTTATATAAGATTATTGTTTAACTACAATAGTCTATTTAATTGTAAATCTCTAAATTATGATACACTATTTTCCTGTACACATTGAAACAGAAATACAAAAAACGCACAAACATACAAAAAAGGGCAATCTTTTTTTTTTGGTAAAAGAGGGCAATCTTTGATGTCAATAAAAGAAGAAGAGGGCATATTCTTTTTTCCTTATGGAGATGGTAGTTGTCACATGATTCCTTTTGAGGCTTGGACTTCACAATCCTTAATAACTACTTCGTCTCTGTCTTAATGCCAGTAGTTAAGTTAAAAAGAATTAAGAGGTATGACTTCCGAGGACAGTGACATTAGCTCTGGCACATGCTCGACGACATTATGCTTAAATAAACGATAATGTTACATCCTCTTAACTTGTTTTTGGAATAAAAAAATTGACAATTAGAGAGAGGCTTCTCTTAGATAGATCTTGGGAGAAAAACATACTTATTCTATTTTCTTAAATGTGTTCTAATCCCATAGCACCAGCCCGAGAAAAAAACGGCAACAATTTAGAAGTTAAAAGTAATTCCTCTTATTTACTTTGATAATGGATGATATAAATTCTACGGCTACTCAACATCACTGGAAGAGCACTAAGCATTGCCTAGATAGGTCGAATAATTTTTTTTTGTATGGGCACCAATCACAAACCATGTATACATGCTATAGAAATTGTACGCCACTATCTATGTAGCTATCTTGATTATGACTTTGAGACATTAAAAACCCTGTAAACTTAAGTTGAAGCTTCTTCTATGCATTGTATACCGTACAACTAATTCAAGAGAGTGGTTAATGATGAGCATTTATCAGATTACCGTTCAGGAGCTGCAAAAGGACAGATTGATAAGCTATATCCTTACAAATATGGATTGCCAATTAAATTACCTTGAAAATCGATGGGGTTCCCTAAGCTTGATATCTATATCGTCTGGTCCGTCAAATACTTTGCAGAGATCTCAATACGTTTCACTCCACCTTATAGTAACCTGATGTGTGACCCTTCTTCATCCATAAATCTGAAAAATGGTGGAATTAAGAGTAAACATCGTTAGCATCCCATATTTCAATATGTGAAATGTATAAAAATGGAAATGCCACCGAAAAGCACCACAGAAGAGTGTTAAGGTGGAACCAAACTGATATTTCTGTAGATGTCGACAAAAGGAGGAATAAGCGCAGCTCAGAAAGTCAACAGTTTTGATATGAGTTGAAAACGAAATTAGTAGCCATTAGAGAAGCAAGTGGACAGTTTTGCAAATGTAAAACACAAACTCTACGTCGTCAATAATCGATGGCTACTCTGTTCTATTTTTTTTCTTTCAAATATACTAATTTAATCAACTAAGTTTTTAGTTCTATTTACGGACATGATGAGTTTGCCATACAACACAAACTCATCAGCTTATATTAACCGGCTAAATTCATAGAATTGTCATCGTCTACCAACTTCACTTTTAAATTTTAGATAATAGGTTCAGTTGGGAAGCTTCTTGTATGATGCAAGAAATGTGAGAACAACAAACAGTGAACCAATCTATATTATTTTCCCTACAGAAAAAGAACCAGGGTTGATTTTATATGAGCGGTGGTTTAAAAATTCACCAAAACATTGATGATCTACATACCTGAATTTTCTTTGATGTACCATCTCTAATAGAGTGTAGTACCTTAACGTATTAACCACATGTGATAAAGATAATTTTGAGCTTTTGAACGTTGTAGTGAATATGATTCCAAACTTACATTATCACCAGAACACAAATTGTATGACCTCGATTTCATTTTACCCATCAGCAAATTATGGTGTCGGCCATAACTTTTGAAGATGTGAAAAATGCGGAGGAATATATGTTCATTCTTTCAGCCATACCTTGAATTATATTCCATATTTTCCCTTAAAAAAGCGTATTAGTTTTATCTGTTTTTATTATTGAAGTGTATCTTTAAGTGTAAAGATGATGAAAAACTACAATGGTTTTGATGTTTGGAAGCGTGGGATTGTATTCTAAAACTTGTGTGATTTCATAAAACCTAAATATTATAAAATATGGACAATTACCTCATTTGCCTTCCCCCAGCGCTGTAACAATGGCGCAGCGTCCTACCTCTCGAACTGAAGATGAAATTGGCTCCAATCAAAATCTCTTGAGGCCTCTTGACTCGGTCTATGGGTATCTAGATATAACCACTATCGTTTTAATTCGGGGACTGCTCGATGTGTATATAAAGAGGATGGAGATGTGGAAGTGAAATGGAATTTTTTAAGAACGGTTGACGTTTTGGATTCTCCATCGTGGTTTGAGGTTGTAGTGGTGATTTTAGTGTGAAGCATCTCTGATGGTGAATTAAAGTACATTTTCTTGGGTAACGGCTTCTGGTTTGAGATTTCCTTTTGTTGAAGCGGAATAGAAAATGAGATGAAGATGAATCGTTGGAGTCGAAGCTGTTTCAGGTCAATGTAACTAGGGTCTGAAGCACGCTCAGTTGAGTATGGAGATGGCTAGGAAAAAAAAAATATTTTCCTCGTTATGGGCTAGACTGAGGTTTTTTTGGGATGTTTTCTATTGGGCTTTGTAGGTCAGTTTATTGAACTTTTTTTTTATTATAGGGGGAGTTGTTTAAATTCGGGCTGGAGGTTGGTGGACCTAGATTAAATGGGCCGACGTGTTTTCTACTCTTGTGATGAATGATCATTCTTACTTAAAAATATTCTGATGAAGTGGCAAATTTAAGGGTTTTTATTGGCTGATTATTTTCTCCTATTATTTTGCTGACGTGGATGGCTTGAGAAGCCAGAAATTCAGCTCCTTGTTTCCAGTTTTTAAATATTTTTCATATTTCATACACCGTATATAAGAAAATTGTGGATTGCATTGCCAATTTGCAAGAAATCCCTTATATGTCATATAGACGGTTGGGCACCATATCTTTTTTTGCACCAACATCATATACCCAAAAATATATAATATCATATTTTGGAAAATTTTGAATGTGAGAAAGCACACAAAGAGAAATTTGCTCGGAAGCTTTTATTGATTTGGATGATGAATCACAATAGGGAAAATTTAAAGAATTATGGTAGCTGTTTAGGAGCTCTCAATTTTTTAGTCTTTTCCCTAGAATTTCAGATAGATTGATTATAAAGAATCCCCTCTTTTATATGCAAATCTAAAGTTGGTTTTAAAAAGTAATTTCCTTTTCCTCTTTGAATCCGGAAAAAAGAAATTTTCCTCTGAGTTTAAAGGAAACATTTCTAAGAATTTGGGGGTCGACGCCGACTTCTTCTCAGTCGCTTCTGCAAAGTTTATCCAATTGGGCCCGGATTGTTGATTGGGATCAATTGAGCCAGTCTTACTTTGGCATAACCATAATTGGTCGGGATCAACTGGGTCGATCTTACTTTGACATAAACAATCATTGACCGAGATCAATTGGACTGATCTTGGTTCATGCCGAGTTCAACCGAGGATGCGGGGCATACCTCCAACAGATAACCAAGAGGTTCTGAGTCAAAACCTGTACATCTTCCTAGTTCTTGTCCAAAGCCCGTACATCTCCTTAGGCCCGGGCTAACTTTTGATATTATTACTGTTCCAGCTGTCATTTGATCCTGTAACCTCTTAGATTACCCTAGGTTCCTCGCACTTTCACATTCATTTACACTAGGATTGTATTGTTGATTTGAAACAACGATAGGATGCATGTGGTGTGTTTTATATCGAAACGGTGTATAGGTTCTCAAAACCTACAAATACACCATCACCCAAAAAAAATATCTTATTCAAAATCTATGAATATGGCCAATCTAGTTAACATCAACTCTCTCCCTTCAGATCTTTCGAACGAGATCCTTATGAAAATGACTTCTTCTTGTACATAGATCTTTGTAGGGCAAGAATTTCTTCTAAAACTCTAACCGACATTTCTAATGAAGAAGGTTTCGAAAAAACAGTGGATTTAATATCTCAATAAACACCATGGGTTTGGGATCAATATGGGATAGTGGATTCTGTCTTTAGACGCAGCTTTGGGTCGGCAATCCAACCTCACTATTCCTTAGAGGTGTATCTATCTTTTTCTATGAAGAAAATTTACAAGCATGGATGGCTTTAATTAAGGAGGCATCAGACGCTGGATGACTTATGGCTAAATACTGTCACACTATGCTTTGTCTAACCATGGATGACAGCGATGAAGTATTCAACTCCAGAATTGATCTTTCTCGGGGTAATGCAGTGAAGATAAGATTGGTTATGCAACTTAGCAACAAGCGTCTGTGGAATTTTATCATTTCAGTCGAGTTAGATGACACGGTAAATGACTTGACAAAAACATGCAAACGATAAAATTCCACGGACACATGTTGTTGTGGTGCATAACCATTCTCATCTTCACTGCATCGGCCCGAGAAAGATCAATAGGAATTGAATACTTCATCGCTGTCATCCATGGTTAGACGAAGCATCGTATGACAGTATGTAGCCAAAAGGCATCCACCATCTGATGTCTCCCTAATTAAAGCCATCTCTGCTTGTAGTTTTTCTTGTATAAAAAGAGAGATACACCTCTAAGGAATAGCGAGGTTAGATTTCCCAACTCCAATAAGCGTATAAAGAAAGCATCCACTCTCACATGTTGATCCCAAATTCATGGTGTTTTTAGAGATATTAAATTCACTGCTTTTCGAAGTCCTCTTCATTAGAAATGTTGTTTAGAGTTTTAGAAGAAATCCTTGCTCGAAAAAGATCTGCGTACAAAGAAGAAGTCATTTTGAGAAGGATCTCGTTCAAAAAGTCCGAAGGGAGAGAGTTCATGATAACTGAATTGGCCATATTCATAGATCTGGAATGAGATATTTCTTTGTAGTGATAGTGTATTTGTAGGTTTTGAGAACATATACACCATTTGAAGAAAAGGTAGGCAGTTGAGAGAACATAATAAATAAAACTGTTTTAACTGTTTTATACATAAATTAGTCGTATAACAAGTAAAACAAGTGTAGACTTTCTCACGTAGACTTCAAACATAAACTTCTCACAAATACTTCTACAAGATACTTCCCATAGACTTCTGACGCAGACTTCTCACGCAAACTTTTTCTGCTTTTGGTTAATCTTTGACGACTATGTCAAAAACACAACAGCTTAGAAAAACAATATAGAATTTGTCATTGTAAATTATACTGTTGACTAGCTGAATTCAACTTAAACAAAACGGCAAAGTATGACCAGGTTGCTTGCATTTTGAATAATTGTATTGCTTGTGCATCTTCCTTGGTTTGGTATATTTCATCCTTGCAATTTATAGTCATGATTGTCATTGGGACTTCTTCTGTCTGCCTGATTTACGGTGAACTTCTGGTAGAAAGCATTGTACTGTACTGAATCCTTGCACTTCTATCATATTGAGATAGATATGTTACGAGTATGCCACATACAAATAGTCTTTCGAGTAAGTAGGACATATAAGTGTAAACACAAGTAAGCCTCTAATGCAGCTACAATAGCATGTGAACAAGATATTTTTTTCGATATAAACACACCAGATGCACACTGTTGATGTCCAAATCAACAACACAAATCCAGTGTTCTTTTCAAATAGAATCTCCAAGTATCTATGCATTGCATCTTCATTTTATCCGCATAATATCCATAAATCGCCAATAAATACTTAACTCCCAGAGTATAACATTTTGTGAGACTCAAAGTAATAATTTGACTAAATAAAATTGAGAAAATGCTACTTTATCCAAATAAGTGAAGAAAATAATAAATTTTTAAAACCAATCGACCAAATCAAATGTAACTAGCAACTAAAACCAAATTTCATTTTCTATTCAACTATTAATCCATTCACTAAATTAATTTGTTTATTTAACCTATTTTTACAATGGACTAAAATATAAACTTAAACTTAATATATGTTAAAATATAATCATAAAAATTATTAAAAAAATATTGCAAAATTATGAATAAAATTTTTTATTGAATAAATTTTTAAAATTTTATTATACAAAACAGAATATTTCAAAGTTGCTAACTCACATATCTACACAATATATTTCGTACTTTCCATGTCGTTTTTTTAGAATGATATTTATATTTTTGCAGTTTATTTGAAATGTTCTATATAGAACCCAAAACATAGAAACACTATCTCATATGTTTGTAAACAACACATTTTTTTTACGTCATTTTTATTAAGACCCAAATTGGGTAATTACATGGTCGATCAAGCCCAACAATTTTACAACATAAGCCCAAACAGAAATCAACATGTTACAACTTTGGCCCATGAAGGTATACGTGTATGAACACGTGTAAGACTACTTTCATAACGGAGTAAGACTAACTCTGGATAACCAGAAAGTCTAATTAAACAAGAGAGGAGATGGGCAAACTACTCCAGATAAAGCTGGAACTTTATTATCCGAACAAACTTGGAAACTAAGTATCCGATATATATAGAAAAAAAAATCCGATCAAATGATCGTAAGTATAAGAGAAAAAAACTTCAAGAGAGAAGAGAGAAAAGAGCCAAAGAAAAAAGATATTGTGTTTGTAAACAACACATCAACTCCTAGATTATGCAGCCATGTGCCTATAAGGGATAAGCCCAGCAATGTAATTGTTACGTGTTTGTTTTTTTCTTTTTTATCGTACTATATAATTAATTATTAGGCCCAAAAAATACTAGAAGCCTAATTGACCCTAACATGTTTTAATGTATGTATTTGTGTCTATTAAATTGGGTTATTAAAGATATTTGATCAATTTATATTTAATTAGTTTATTACAGAGCTATATATTAATTAAAACTAATTAGTTAGCCGCGCTTCGCGAAATTTTTTATGTTGTTAGTTATAGATATACTTAAAAAAAGTGTAACAGTACTTTTTAATTAAAATGAATGATTATTATTTTGTTATGCTACATATACTTAATTTAATAGATGAGACGCGCTATAAAATTATTTAACATCGTTAAAGTTATCAATGTTAAATTATATCCAGTAAAATATTATACATTTAGACACCTAATATTCATAATTAAACACAACTCAAACCATCCAATGAATTCAGTTTATATATCTGGATAAGTTAACTCCTATGAAAATCTATACATTTCAAAAATGGAGAAAGAGAATAAACCTCTAAGAATTTAAAACCCATATTAGAGAAAAATATATACATATATTAATTTTACTATTCTCATATATCCATTCAACTCTCTCAATAATCTCATTGAAGAAGCATCTAACATGTTTTCAAAATGCACTTATTATCTCTCTCTCATGAATGCAACAAATTGAACATCATACTATATTTTGGTCCAATTTAAACTTAACATTCATTATCTTCCTCTTATTTTCCCCTTTTTAGTGAGTTTTGGTGTTTTCTTTCTGGTTTGAGAGTTACGAAAATGTTTGAGGGAACTTCACCCAT